CATGGAATAAATGTTTTATAATTTGGAGCACTGCTGCTCCAAGTAGTGTCTGCATTTGTTCTTGGAAAATCCTAAATTCCTTCCTTTTGCTCCAGGTTCAAGTGGATCTCCTATTTAGCTTTCAGGGTTGATGGATGTATGAATTAAAGGATAGATAGATATAGATAGATAGATAGATAGATAGATAGATCTGGATAGAAATACCTGGATTGCCCTAGCTGCTGTCCTCAGTGTTTAGAGCATTGGCCTACACCCCAAAGGGTCTTGAGTTCAATTTCTGATCACGAGCACCTACCTGGGTAGCAGGTTTGATCCCTGCCCCCAGTTGGGGTTTATTTGGGAGGCAACCAACTAATTTGTCTCTCACATAGGTTTGTCTCTCTCTTTTAAAAGCAATGGAAACAATATCCTCAGGTGAGGATTAACAAAAAAAAAATAAGGTATGTGGATAGATACATACATAGATACATAGAAAGATATAGACGTGTAAATATACACTGTTCTGTTCTACTGGTCTGCCTGTGAATTATTGTGGCAGTACCACATTGCTTTGATTATTTGGTTTGCAGATATATTTGAAAATCTATTTAATGTGAAATTAAATTAAATCCTTTCCCCCTGTATATTCCTGGCTATTTCCATATTGTTTTCTCATGTATATAAGCAAAATAAAATAATTGTATCATTTTTATGTGAAAACCATTAAATTTTCAGCATTTAGATAACTAGATATCTTAGTGAATTATACATACACATTCAGGGGAGAAGCCCTATGTGTGCAGGGAGTGTGGGAGAGGCTTTACACAGAAGTCACATCTCATCAGACACCAGAGGACACACTCAGGGGAGAAGTCTGGTGTGTGCAGGGAGGGTGAGTGACTCATTAGCTCTCAATCGCACCTCAGCAGCTGTAGGTCAAGTGTAGGCACCACATACCTCATGCCCCAGCTCTGAGGGGCTTCAGAGGAAGCCCACTGGCCCCTTTCCCTTCACAAGTGTGTAATGAGTACAGAAATAACTGGTCAAACATCCTCCACTTTTATGAGGAGAGGCAATAGACAAACAGTTCCTTAAGTGCTATGGGGATGTCAACACCATGTTCTCCATGGGTGTTTTGGCCTCGTTTTAATAAAGTTTGTGTCCAGACAAACCCGAAGCCGACATGCCTCATCCCCCTTATCACTGAAAGCAGAGTTCCAGGAGGGCCACAGAGAACGCTCAGCCACAGACCTGAACCCGGGAAGGCGGAATCTGGCGTCAGTCCAGTGAGGTTCCTCCCAGGTGAGGGATTTGAGACACACTCACCAGGAACGAGAATAGCCCCCCACCAACACCTTGGCTTCTCCTGGCTCCTCCCCTGATTCCTCCGACCTCTGTAGCCTCAGGTGAAAGCCAGGGAGGGTGTGCGTGTGCGTGTGTTTCTCTTTCTAAAAGTGTTGTTTGGAATATTCAGAACAATGTTAAGTAATAGCAGTGATATGTGCTTGTCTTGCTTCAGACTTTCAAACTCACATTTAAAGGACTTGCAACTATTGAAATAATGCTGATTAATATTACATTTAAAATAAACTATATAACCTATCAGAAAATGCCTATGTGTTTACATTATTGTTTGCGCTGCATAATGTGTATTATTATTTAACACACAATTTCTATCATCCACTTGCAGGAGCATCTGAACTGCCTGGTGGTGGCCATGCTGCAGAGGCCCCAGCAGAGAGTGGTGGTATAGATGTCAGCCAGCAGGTGGCATCTGGGCCTGGCTGCTGCCTGGTTTTTGTGGCGAGCCGGCACGGCATGGCATACTCAGCCCCAGGGCGCCTTATGTGCCATGCCAGCTCAGCCAAGGGTGATCCTGAGTGGGGGTCATGAAAGGATTGAGAAAAGACTGACAAGAGAATGAAAGCTGGGTCTCGGTGGGACGCTGCCTCCCTGATGAGGAGACAGTGCCAGCGCCCACAAGCCGTGTCTTTATTTTATAGCAGATGCCACGAGGCAAAGTAAGGGCGTGATCAAGTTGTTTACAGCATTCTCATGAGGTTCAACCTCACTTAACTACATGCACCCGAGGTCTATCACAAGGCACATGGGGACACATGTTTGGACCATAGTTTCAAGCTTACAACCACAGCCATTGGCTATGATTGTGCTGGGAGGGCCCTGCCCTCCAGCTGGGAATTGCACGTGGCAATGAGAGGACTCTGTCCTTTCATTAGTCCGAGGCTTGAACCTGGCCAAAACACTGTACC